AACGTCCCCCCCTTCCTTCTTCTTCCCCCAGCTTTATGTGCTGAGCATGACGCCATATGGTGTGGGATATCCCTTTGGTCAGCTGGGGTCAGCTGTCCCGGCCGTGTCCCCTCCCAGCTTCTTGTGCCCCCCCAGCCTGCTCGCGGGTGGGGTGGGGTGAGGAGCAGAAAAGGCCTTGACTGTGTGTCAGCACTGCTTAGCAATAACAAAAACATCCCTGTGTTACCAACACTGTTTCCAGCACAAATCCAGAACACAGCCCCATACTAGCTACTGTGAAGAATATTAACTCCATCCCAGCCAAAACCAGCATAGCATGGTAACACAGTAATCTCAGAAATGAGCCCACACTAGGGCTTGGCTTGCAGAAGAGGCTTTTCTAGGTGTAGCTGCTGCAGTCTTTCTGTCTTTGAGAGCTGTTACTGTTTCTCTTTGCTGGGCTTGTTTTTACCTTGTTTCTCAAATGTCAGTGGTGCTGTTATCATGCCTTTGTCCATGGTGTCTTCGCAGCGCTGGTGGTGACTTGGTGACAGGTGAATATAAGTACTGTGCTAGAAGTGTCATGCTAGATTGATGCAATGTTCTCTCAGTAATCCTCCACCTTATCTGCTACTCCAAATCCCATCATAGCCTTAAAAATGTTTAAAAAAAAAAAAAAGAGGGAGGCAGGACACCCTCAAAACCTTGTTGCTTGACCACTGCTTGATAAGTATTTAGACTTCTCTGAAGGTGTAAGATTATTTTTCCAATATCTACCTCAGTCTTCTATTTCTCTGTTTCAGTATAACTTAGCTAACCCAGCATTAGTGTGACTAAACAGGAACCTGAGGGCTAGACTGTATTATGGGTTGAGGATCACAGATTTTTTGGGGAATAGCGGCAGACTGCTACCCTGTGATGGTGGCTGCTGTTTTTCGACTGCAACAGTTGATTGTGGCATTCCTTTGTACACTCTGGACTGCTGCTGTTTTTTGTTTTGTGGCTAGTAAGGCTGCTGATCCAAAGCCAAACTAAGATGATGGAAATGTATTTTGTAATTGCTTTCAATTATATCCCTAAAGTGTGAGAATTTACCCGCTCACATGCATACCTAACAGTCTCTACCTACCCTTTTATCTAACCTGGCCTCTGAATGGAATTGTGACACAGGAGTTGTAATACAGCTGCAACACATTTAGAGTGCTCTCTTACCACAGGTCCAACGTAGACTTTCTCGCTGAGTAAATAAGTTGACTCAACAGGTTCTTTGCTCTTGGATTTGCTTTAATTTTCATGCCTTCTCTACCTCTTTTTCCTTTGCCTTGGCTAGTCAAGTCCTGTTGTATTAGAAGATAAGAAAAACTATGTTCAGTAGGCTAAAAGGGAGTAACTGCAGTGATAGCTATCAGAGAAACATGGCTGCATTCCAATAACGTATTTTTTACAAAACAAGTTTTGTAAATGGTTTTAATACTCTACTACAGCTATAGTCTTTCAGTTCTAGGCTTGAAACAGTGTTTCTTGCTTGTGCTGTTAATATTCTCCTGTTTGGGGTTCTTGCAAAGATCAGGGGTGGAGGAGACACTCCCTGATTAGTCCTCTGCAATGCCAGGGGAGCACTGTTAGGTAATGATGAGTTGATAGGGAAGTACGTGCAATAGCCCTTGTGCAAACATGGGCAGTTGCTGTGTGTGTGGTTTTACTGCATAAGCATGACTTGCAGACTTCTGCTTGTAAAAGCAGAGTCATGCTACTCCTGATTTTTCCTGATTTTTTCCCCCTACATTTCTCCTCCCCAGTGTAGAAGGAAGTTTTTGCAGAAATGGAGAGGAGCCGGTTCTGATTTTGATACAGTCCATTAATCCTACTGCAGGGAGTATACAGAATCTTGTGAAAACATTACTCATTCGTCTTTTTTTTTGTTGGTTTGTTTTGGTTGTTTTTTGGGGTTTTGGGGTTTTTTTTGTTTGTAATTCAGAACTCACTTAAAAGGTGGAAGAAAAATTCAGTATGAAGACTCTAATAAACTTGATTGCTTTCCTTCTGGAAAAGGGTCTGCAGACCCTGGAAAGGAAACTTCCCACACACACACCCCGCCATTTAACAATACTGTCTTCAATTGCAAATACGTACAACATTTAACAATACTGTCTTCAATTGCAAATACGTACAACTTAAACCAGCATGATTAGGAATTGACTGAGCCAGATCAAGAGATTGGCATTCAGACTTTCTCTTTAGGAGCTGAAGATACTGCTTGGCTAACTCCTTAGCTCTGGCGAATGACATTTAATAACCTGCTTAGTGACGTTATAAAACTTTCTTATGGGCTTCTGAATACTAGTGTTATAGGCCTACCAGATTTGTAAAACTGATTTCCTCTTGTAAGTTAACCTGCTGATTTATTCTTGATTTTAATTGCTCTTGGTTTGCATGTGTGTATTTCAAAGCACATCTAGTTAATGTGAGTTGGCATTTATGCAACAGTTTTTTTATCTTTAAAGCATGATACAATAATTAGTGAAGTCTTCAGCCTTGCCTGTCCCTAGACTGCAGTGCAACACTGTCTTTTATAGATAGGAAGAGATTTTAAAGTAAATTCTTAAAACTAAGAAATTGTAAAGTAAATTCTTAAAACTAAGAGCTGGTGAAGGTTCCTGAGGATAAATTTTCATGTGGATGACTTGTGGCTTTTTTTTTTTACTTTATCATTTGAAAGCTGTATCAGTCAATATTTACCCGATGGTTATGCTGACTGGCAGTTTGGTCCCTCAGTAATGCTGTTGAAGTAATTCATTTGTGCACCTCTCTTCCCATGTGAGACTGTTTCACTGTGTATGTGGCTCATCATTCAGTGGCGCTCTCACTGTGTGTTCGAGGACAAGTATCTCAGACCTTGACAGTGATGCTGAACTTTCTAATTATCTCCCTTTTCCTACCATACTTAAAGGTGAAGCTGTGTTTGCACGGTGCCTGTCTTCTCTCAAGGATGAGAGAGTACAGGCCAGTAAGCTGCTGGATGGGCCTAAAATGACTCAATTCGGTGGGAACAAGAAGGCCTTTCTGGAGGACATACGCAAGGTGAGCCATTGTGCTTGCCAGAGTGCTGTATTAAAGCTGCATATCAAAGCAGGTTTTGGATGCTGTAAACCCTGGTGAGGAGCTCTTGTGTTTGCATTTCACGACAATTGGTTCCTGCTTCCAGCCGTCCCATTGTGCATTGTCCAGTGATGTCCACAAAGTGTAATGCGATTCCTTTCCTGACCAAAGCATAGTCCTGAAGGAATTCCAAGTCTAAGCCACAGTGGGCAGTGACAACTAGCTGGGTGCAGAGGTCATAATTCATGCACAGGAGCTTACTTTTTCGCCCCTCAATGCTCCCGTCTTTGTAATGGGGATAATAGCTCTTGATCTCTCTCTGTTGAGACCAAACTTTCCAACAATTAGAAAGGATATTTTGGTTCTCAAATAGCTGGAATGTGGCTACTGTACTCATCCCTGATGAGATGTGGACTAAACAGAGCAAGCAGACTCTGAAGTTTCTCGTTCAACTTTGTGGGACTTCACTTGGAATATGAATTTGGTTTTTTAGGCCCTGTATGCTTCCAAGATTATCTCATATGCTCAAGGCTTCATGCTGCTGAGACAAGCAGCCAAAGAATTTGGCTGGACACTGAATTACGGTGGCATTGCGCTGATGTGGAGGGGAGGCTGCATCATCAGAAGGTAATTAAGATGAGGAGGTAACTTAGTTGCTGAGTTACTGGTTTATGCAGTGCTAGACTGACAAGCCTAGAGATTTTCTTGGAAAATCCATGGAGTTAATCTGCTGATAAGATACTGAGAGGCTGTTTCTGTAGACGGCACTAAAGGTTACCAGATGAAGCCAATTTTCTGGTGGCTTAGCTACTGCAGATTTTCTTAGGTCTTTGTTTTGTTTGCACCTTTCTCAATGTTTGAAATCTGAGTCTGGCTGAGTCAAATTTTGACACTGTAAGTTTTGGATTCTGGGCCTTTGTTGGAAGTTGTGAAGTTTTATTCCTGGTTTACATGTGTTCTGCCTAGTGTGTTCCTGGGAAAAATCAAAGATGCTTTTGATCGAAACCCTGAGCTCCAGAATTTGCTGTTGGATGATTTCTTTAAGACAGCTGTTGAAAACTGTCAGGTGAGTTTCCAAGAAAGGAAGAGCATAAAAACAGTAGTTTACAGTCTGGACTTCTTCAGCTTCTTCCCCAGGACTTACCTTCACAAGTATATTTAGACTGAAAAATGAAAAGGTAGAGAACACCCTTGAAACCTATTTATACAGCATCCTTAATCCCAAAGATCTCTAAACAATCCTCAAGCTCTTTGGGACTGTGTATGTGTATCTGTATGCACATAATGTATGGGTGTAGGAATTCATCATCTATGGCTTCAAGGTACCCTTCTTTAGAAGAACATACCAGTCTTACAGGATCAGGACAGGAAAAAAATTACATAGATGGAGCTGGTTGAAATTGAACAAGAAAGTTACTGTGATGAGGTAGGCTATACTGAGGTCCAAATTAGAATTTTGCCAGACACCAGGGTTAGCAACCTGTCCTTGAATACATGCCTACAAATGCCCCTTGCCTCTATTTCATCAGAAAGTTGGAGAATGTTAGTTCTAAATGAAGGAAAAAAAGGGGCCTGCATCACTGAAGCACTACTTTATAAATCAGCATCCAGATACATCAAGTGAAGTCTCATGTAAAGTTGCAAGGTATATTTGTACTGTCAACCTCAAGATAATACAGGATCAAATGAACATATAGTCCTTGTTGTGTCATGGTTCTTCTCTTTGATACTAGCCAAACTACTATTAGAAACTTAAGGTTTCCATTTTACAATTACAGAAGAGCCTTAGGCAGAAATCTAGCAATTCTGAAGAATGACAATGTGAGGAAAAAATGTCTCACCTGTGTGAACATTCTCATCACTGCCCTGTATCTTGTGCCTACTCTGCTCTTGGATTTCAGTTGTACAGAGTATAAAGCTCTGTTCTATTACTATCGTTTGCAGTAGCACCAAAATAACAGTGTTCCAGACCCGCCATTCATTAGACCTAGGTCTGTCCAAACAGTGTCCGGATTTGGATGGAGTTGACAGGCAGAGCTAAAACCAGATTATCTGACCAACAAAGAAGTCATATTATCATTAATAATTCTTTTAACTGAAGCTGAATATTCCATGCAGGTTACTAAATCAGATGTACAGTTGAAATGAGGATTATCCACGTGTCTGTTTGAAGTATTGTGCTGACCCCTTATGCCCTTGGGTGGGCTTTGTACTGTGCTTGATTAGAGGTCCCAAAAGTGCCTCAGTGTTTGCTCAGTATGTTCCCCACTGTGTTCATGCTTTTGGGATGGACTGATTATGTTTATGTGAAAGAACAGCATCCTTGCTCGAGGTTGTGGTTTGATTGCATGTGAAGTATATGTCTGCACTCTATTGTGCTGTTTGTTAACTATCTTACTTGCCATTATTTTGGATCAACCTTGTTTATGTAAAATCAGGAATCTACTGCTGCATTTGCTCAGACTTGGTCACTAGATTTCATATAATGTGAAATAGCACACGCTATTATACTAGAATAGTTCATATGCCTGCACATACCTCTGAGCAAGCACTGAGTAGTTTCTTTCTTTTTTCTTCCCCCCCCCGGCTCTTTTCCTCTCTCCCAGGACTCCTGGCGACGTGTAATCAGTACTGGAGTACAGATTGGTATCCCTATGCCCTGCTTCACTACAGCACTTTCTTTTTATGATGGATACAGGCATGAAATATTACCAGCTAACCTGATTCAGGTAGGTGCCTGAAATAGTGTAGCAGATCTTCTGGCTACTGAAATATCATCATGTTGTTATTTAAATACTGGTCTAAAGGCCATGATAGCAATATGTCCTAATCACTCCAACACTGTAAAGATAAAGGCATAGATTGCCTAATACAATTCTGTTTAACCTGAAATTCACGGCAATAAAATACTATGAGATGTCTGGATAAAGAACACCAGAGATTGGTACGACAGTGCCCAGCATGTGTTAGTATTCCATCTGTGAACCCAGGGTAATGATATCTTTGAATCAAAATGCTTTATAAAGAAGTGAGTATCTTTGAACCTTTGGATGTATGTAAGTGCTTGTTTTTTAGATTAGTACCTAGCAGAAATTATATACTTGTAATTACTAGATATTAGTAAATATTTCATTGCAGTGATTTTGCTAATAATGAGAAAATAAGTTTGAATGTTATAATATTGGAGTCATCTTATTTCTAGAATTCCTAAGTCAAGTATCAGTAGGTGCAACTTCTAGTACTCTTATGACTGATATTCATGTGTCTATTTTGTGTGTGTGTGTGTTCTTCTAGGCTCAGCGTGATTACTTTGGTGCACATACATATGAATTATTGTCGAAGCCAGGTGAATTTATCCATACTAATTGGACAGGCCATGGAGGAAATGTGTCCTCTTCTGCCTACAATGTCTAATGGAAATATTTCCTCTTGCAGCCAAGATACTGTAGATCTCAGATATTCCTCCTAGAATACCACTTTTTACTGTATTGTGCTAGAACTTGTGTTTGGACACTTTTGTAATAACTTGTGGGTATATTTCATATATATATGTCAATATATATATCATATAAGAAAGCTAAATAAATTTGCTTATAAATGCATTGAGGTGTTTTCTTTCCACTGCTGCTGGCCAAAACTGGCTAAAATGTCTTTGTGCAGTATTTAATAGAATACATTTTATAATGATAATATTTTTATTGTATTATAGTGCATAAACTCATAGGGATCAAGATAGAGATGACTGCATTTCAATAATTGCTAAAGTGGAGAATGGCAGACAGTCAGCACAGTAACACTACACAAGATTCCAGGGAGGTAAAGGCCTTTTTTTTGGTTGTCGTTGTTTATTCATAACAGGCAGTAGCTTGGTTCTTAAAGATTAATTCCTTAATCTTAAAGATTAATTAACACCTGCACACAGTCTTGCACACTGTGAGCTCTGTTTGTTTTCTATGAAAGGGTGAAGGGTGGGATGGATCATGGAGAAACTTGAATGCGAGTCATGGGTGTCAAGTCTGATACTCCTGTCACCGAGCCGTTCTCCCTCCAACTGTTGTTCCCAGTTTTAAGCTCTGGCATAAACTGTTGGTTTAGCTGTGTGCTTGCGCTCTTTTCCCCACATCTCCCTGCTTCTTTGCCTCCTCTTCCCATGGGGCAATTAAAAATACCTGCAGTAGCATGCAAAGTTGGCCCTATTTGATATCCTCTTCCTGCAGTCCCACCGCCAATCATCTTCAGGACTTCTGCAAATTCACCTGGGTGCCTGTACCTTTTTTTTTTTTGTCAAAACCTCTCAAGTGTTAAATTTTGTGCTGTACGCTGATTTTTATATTAATTTTTTGCTCCATTTATTTCTGCTAAGACAGTTAGCTACTTAGTTATTAGTTGAGTATCTGTATGATTAGCAAAAGATTACCTTCAATTTAAAGCAACTTTTCTGCAAAGTATGTTGTAAGATTTAGGAATTCTGTAAAATAAATGTGTGACAAATTGCAGGCAATAGTGATAACTGGAGGGTCATGAACATTTTAGTAGTCGGTTGTGGTTTAGGCTTTCCAGCAGGAGAACTGTATTTGAAGATTTCCGTGGTGGATGGTAGGAACAGTTTTGCCAGATTATTGTGTGCATAAGCGTTGTGTTTCGGGGGAAAACAGGATACTCCCACCAATCTATTTTAGTGCTTAGTATGATATTAGTGCTGCGAAAAATATCTATCTGGAATCTCGTTGTCTAAAACCTGACAACTACTAAGTCAGGGTAAGCAGTATGTGCCTCACTGGGTTTACCACGAGCAGTGCTTGTTCCGTAATCTCATTTGAACTGAAGCGATAAGGGAAGGATGGGGACACCAGCTGATGTTGCTTTACATCTCCCTTACTGCGTTACGCTTGAGCTCCGCCGGACACGTGCATTAGCTCCCGACAGCGGGACGATCTTTCACGGTCCACGCGTACCTCTTACAAGCTGTTCGAGCGGGGCGGGTGCTGTAATCGCTGCTTACAACCGGACCGTGCCCAAGGTGGCAGCCTCACAGGGGAACGCGCAAAGCCTTCTGCAGACCGCGTCCTGGCGCTCCGTCCGTTTTCCTCGCCGCTAGAAAAGCATCTTCGAACACCCCTGTTTAGCATCGCGGCGGCGAGGGCGGGCCGGGGCGGCTGCGGCGGCTTCCTCTGCCCGTCGCGGGGCGGTGACGGTTGCTGGGGAGGGCTCGGGTCTCCCTCGGAGCGGCCCCTTTCCCGCAGCACCCCGACGACCGCCCGGTGCGGGGGTGACGGCGCTCCG